GTGGCCGTGCCGGGGCGGGGAGAAGGGGGTGGGCTGGGCTGGGCTGGGCTTAGCTGAGCTGGGCCGGGCCAGGGCCAGGGTAAGGGCAAAGGAGGGGGGTGGCAGGGCTAAGGCAGGGCGAGGCGAAAGGCAGATCCGTAGCTGGTGTGTGTTAGGGGAGGGCAGGGTGAGGGGGACCTGCGGGCCCGGAGGAGGAAGGGAGGCTGGGTTAGGGCAGGGCTCGGGGGCTGGGGGGGTGAGGAGCTGCCGCAGGGAGGGGAAGGCCTCTGCGGAGGTGGGTGAAGGAGGGTCAGGTCCGGAGGAAAGAAGGGAGCGGAAGACCCTGGGGAGGAGTGGGTGTCTCCACCTTCAGAGTGGAGCTGAGGGGGAGCGGAGCCACAAGGGCTGGAGGCAGAGGCAGGGCAGGGGCAGAGGGAAAACCGTGCCTGAAAGGTTGAGGGAGAGAGAATTGGAGGAAAGGGAAGGGAGAATGAGGTAGGAGGTAGCATCTGCGGTGGAAGGAAAACCTTCACGTGAACTTGCTTCCCTCTTTGCTCCGACTCCGGCAGCTGCTGGCCCGCTGGTAGGGCAGCTGCTCCTCTGCAAGTCCCAGGCACAGCCAAGGCTGTGATTTGCACGGGTGGATCTGCCTCTGGTTTGGGGCAGGGTCAGCGCTGCAAATTGCAGCTCGCGGTGTTTACAGCACAGCCTGGGTGCTGGAGTTTGCAGCTCCAGAGGCTGCGAAGACCTTCCCCCGTTTCATTTCAGGTATGAGGTTGGACTCCAGTCGCTGCGGCAAGGGCAAATCGTACACCGCGCACACACTGAATAATTGCTCTTTTTCTTTAATTAAGTAGTTGTCATTTTCTACAGCGTGACACAGAACAGGTGCCGTGAGCTTACGTACATGCTGCCTGCCCGAACAAATGGGGGAATGGAAGCATTTTGGAGTTAAAAGTTCACTCTCTAGAGCCAAGATCGGGTGAACAAAAGGCAGTAACTACTCGACGGTTGTGTTAATAAACCCGCAGCAGTGTGATCTGGTCCCTCTTGTGCCCGTGTTGCCTGATATTCCTGTGTTCTTACACCCAGCTCCCTCTCGGGCCGTCGGGGATACCTTGAAATCTTTGGGAGACTTCTTTCCCCACCTTTTTTTTTTTTTTTTAACACCAGATGACAGAGTATTCCCAGTCCTAGCTTGTGCAAGTGGTGAAGCTGAAATACGAGATGCTCGCTGCAGTGCTCAGTCTTTCCCAAGGAGGACCGGGGGAGTGTCTTGGGTTTTTAGTAAGGCTGCGTGGGTGTGCATATTAAACTGAAATTCTGCTGTGCTTGGCTACCTCGGGGACCAGTTTATAATCACCGGGCAAATATGCTGTGTGTAGGAGAAATACTTAATTTCATGAAATTCGTTGCATTGTGCTGGATGCTAGATTGTGATTGGGAAATATCAGTCGGTGAAAGCAGAAGGCAGAGCTTGGCAGAGGCGGCGGATGGCTTTAAACAAAACCCTCCTCGCTGCTCAGGGACCGCGATGCACCGAGGAGAGGTTCTAGGGGAAAATGGGGCGGAGGTGGAGGACTGGGGCTGCCCAGCTTTCTGGGGTTTGACAGCGCACCTGGAAAACGGTAAACGCCGCGAGCCATTTGTTACGAGAAATAAAACCTCCTAAAAATCATGGGAGGGGGTTTGCAAACCTCTCGAGCTGAAGGAAAAGGAGCGATTTCGTTTCAGAATGTGAACAACAAACCTGCCAGAGCAGTCACGGTCGCCAAGGGGAAAAACATTTGGCTAAGGAAGAGTATTTGTAAAGCTGCTACCGAAGGAAGCGTAATAAGAAACGTTTAAAAAGCCACTGCCTCGGTGATTTTCCAGGATAGCCTCGCTAGCAGGAAAGCAGTTTCTAGCTTTGCAGAGCTTGGAAGACCGTTCAGATCACTTCGGATGCAACCATTTGTACCCCAAAAAAGCTCCGGTTGTCACATTAGATAGCAAAAGCGAGGTGGCCTCCCCCGGATCATAGTCTTTGCCATGCTAAAACCTCAAAAGCGAGGTGGCCTCCCCTGGATCATAGTCTTTGCCATGCTAAAACCTCAGGGCTCTGCAACACGTGCCCTTTCCCTCCGTGAACCAGCCGGCTCTGTCCTGACCCGGCTCTGGAGACCCAGACCCCCAAGAATCCTTTCCTCAGGGCGTAGGAGTGTTGTTGGGAGCTGATGATCATGACAACCCTCCCCGGGTTGTCTGGAGCATTTGGGAGCCAAGAAGTTGCCAAAGCAAGTTTGATTCAGCTGCTGTTCTTTGACACCGTCTGTGGTTCTCTGTAAATCACTAACAGATAATATTTTCATATTCTGGCTCTCTCCATGTCCCCTGCTTTCTGAATAATTACCTTGTTTTGTGCGAGCCGTAAGAGGTTTTCACAGATAATTCATCCAGCGCTGAAAGGCAGCCAGCTTTTGGGCTGGAGCGCAGTTTCTGGCCACCTGGCATTGCTGCAGAGGTCTGCGCTGGAGCGCAGCTGCCTCCGGAGGGAAGCGCCGTATCCAGGACAGCCGAGGGCAGGGCGAAAAACCAAACCCAGCTGAAATCCCGGCTGCCCTTCCTCGGAGAATAATTTAGCTTGGCAAACTCAGCCCACCCTGAATTTCTGGATGTGTGGACAGATTGATCCCACAGATCTGGATGCTCTCACCCACAGAAAGGCCGTTTCACTGGAAACAAAACACCTCATGGGAGCTGTTCGCGGTGGTGTGCTCTGTCTCGGCTCGCTCCCCGTGTCCTGACTGGCGCTGGGCTCCGCGAGAGTGGGTGGGTCGGAGCCCAGCGTGGAGCCGGGATTGCCCCGAGGTTCCCATCCCCGTCCCGGGGGATGAGTTACTCCGGGGCAGGCAGAGGAGGAATGATCATCACCGTGCCAGCTTATCTCGGCGACTCCCAGAGCCAAGCCACCAAAGATGTTGGGTAATTGCTGGCATCACCGTGCTGAAGGGCTTCAATGAGACAACATCAGCGGCCCCGGCCTACAGCCTCCATCACCCTGACGGGGAGCGCGATGTCCTCGTCTTTAATACGGGCCGGGAGGGGCATCAGCATCTCCATCTTCACGATAGAGACGTTGTTGAGGTCAAAGTCACGGCTGGAGACACTCACCTGGGAGGTGATGACTTCGGCAAGCAGTTGGTGGGCATCTTCACGGATGAATTCTTAAAAGAAGCATCGAGAGAGCATCAGGCAGGGTGGAGGAGCTGTTTGGAGGCTCGGGAAAGCCCGTGACGTGGCCAAACAGGCTCCCGCCTCCAGCACGAAAGCCACCATCAGCTCGGACTGCCTCTAAAGGGATCAGCTTGTAGGCGGGCGTTACACGTGCCCGGTTCAAGCACCTGAGCACCAGCCTCTTGGTTGGCAGATGCCAAGAAGGGGCGGCTGAAGAAGGAGGGGACCCTGAAGGTGGCGGAGGACCGTGAGAAATACCAAGGCCAGGGCGCAGGACTGGAAGCTGGCCACCAGGGACTACCTCCGGTCCCGTGCTTTCGGCGTGAAGCTGACCCCTGGAGACATCTTGAACTACCTCACCCTGCAGACCCAGAAGAAGATGGGATTCTCAAGGCGGGGGGGCACATGGGAGGCAGGTGCCAAATCCTCTCGGCTTTCACCCTCTGGGCAGTGCTCGCTCCCCCTAAAGCACCGGCCTCAGCTGGTATTTCACCATCAAGGTATCAAATTTGGGGAGTTTCCTGCAAGCTGGAAATGCGGGGTATGCAGGCAATGTGCCTCTTGCGAAGGAAACCTTAAATGCGTACCTTTAGGCCAGCTTTGCTTTCAATAGAAAGCGGGGTTCGGGGTGGTTGGTCTTTGCTACGCCCTGCAAAACCTGGAGCGACTCCAAGGTTCGGGTGTCGAGGGAAATCTGGAGGTCGCAGCTCACTCGGGCTGGGAGCCAGAACCCAAGGCTGGCTCTGGAAACAGCAAACCTCTCTTCAGGTATGTCCTTTCTTATTTTCTCCTTTTTCAAATATAATAAATGGATCTTTTTTAAGTTCCCAGCCATCCTTTACTACCCACGCTCAGAACTGCTATCCCTAATGCCGCAGATGCAAAATTTCAGGCTCCTGCTAAATGCTTCCTGGGGGTGCAAAACCTCCAGCTCTCCAAGCCACCTGCGTGTTCAGCAGCAAATTCAGAACATCACCTATCCAAAGGGAGCCTGAAAGTCACGGTTCCCTGAAAGTCAAAGCATGTTTTATTGACTGCAGTCAAGAGAATCAAAGATCTGGAGACCTGGACTCCCACAGAATAAGCCACATTATTCCTGCGCAGCGATCATTTCTCTCCCAGACATGAATTCGAGTCAGCACCCCTGCTGAGAATGATTAAAGACCACTTCAGAAATCAGTGCAGCAAATTGTAAAATAAGCAGGTGAACGAGTGAAAGAAAACAAGAAAATATTATGACCTGCCACCCTCAATTGGGAGCAATCACGTCGCCTGGAAGGAAGCGCTGCTCCCCGGGTGCCGCCGGCTGGCGCTCGCAGCGAGGAAGCATGGGGGCTGACCCCGGCCGTTTGCTATATAAAATAAGGGTGTAGCCACGGGGGACGTCGCTTCTCGACTGCCAGAAACCCATTTTGGGGAAAGATGCGGCCCGTGCACCCGCTGATACAAGCCAGGGCTGGCTTTTCCCCTTTTGGAGGCTCCCCTCCCCAGCTGCCCGGCTGCTAATCGAGCTCTCAAATTGGGAAGGCAGAGCCTGGCAGCGCCAACAGCTCTCACCTGGGAGCTCTGGGCTGCCCGCTGGTACTGCCTGCCCGGCTCCATCCCCAGGGTGGACGTGAGCAGGGCACCAGAGCCCCCGAGAATGAACCTTCACACCGCGCTGATATCCAGCCTGGGCACCCCAAAGAGCAGCACCGGCCTCGCCAACCCCTCGGCTCTCGGTCAGGCTTCCCCGTGGCCGTGCGGTTTTGGGGTAAAGCACTGGAGCAAGGGGAGATGAAAGGAGCACAACAGCTCTGGGGCGGCAGCTCCGAGCCCGGCTGCTCCCCAGGAGGTTGGACAAAACCCCCCCCTGAAGCGTCCTGGGTGAAATGAGCTTTGGGTCCATTTGGGCTCCCTCCATCCCGGAGGCTGTTGGCAGCAGCATGGAAACCCCCAGAAGCTCTGCTTTCCCCCCAAATGGGTGGGGAAACTGAGTCACCAAGCACTGACCCCACGTAGGAGCCTGGAGAGAGGCTGAGCAGAGGACCCAGGTGTCCTGAGAGGCACCGGGTGCTGGGGACCGCTCTCTCTGGTGGGGGGCAGCTCCCTTTTTCCCGGCACGATGCCAGCTGCTGGGACGGGGCAGAGTCCAGTTGGGAACAGGAGGGCCCTGAGCCCAGCCCAGCTTCCGAGAGTGGATTCGGGTTCCCTCCCGCTGCTGGGGAAGGGGGTGCTGGCACTTTTGGGGGTGGCACTGAAAACTCTGGGGTTAGGGCACAGGTAACCCAAAGGGGGGGGTGAGCCTGGGCTGAGCACTGGGTGAAACTCATCGCACAGAGGGCTGCAGAAGGCAGTCACGGCAAGGGCTGTGGTTGGCGGGGGACGGGCTGGGGCTGGCAGAAGACACCCCAGCATGACAGACAGGATCACTTCTACAGGCTTTTATTGCCAAAATGGCATCCTCTCACCTCCCAGCTGAGCTGCCCCCCTCTGCCCCACAACCACCACAGCCCCCCATCCATCTGGAGCTGCCCAGGGGGACATGGAGGGGACAGGGCACATGTGGGGCCATGTCCCGTCAGGCCAGGATGGGGAAGGAGGCGGCGGTGGCCACGCCGCAGTTGTTGTCCTTCATGGCCATGAGGATGTAGCCGTCGTTGCCCCAGTACGTGGACCAGGAGTTCTTGATCAGCCAGTAGCTCTTGCCGTGCAGGACCCCGTAGCCCACGGCCAGCACCGCGTGGTCCAGCGCTCCCGTCTCGTTTCCTGGCCGGGAGGAGAGAAGAAAACGGGCAACATCTCAGTCCCCAACCCTTGGAGCTGGAGGTCATTCTTGATGCAGCGAGTGGCCCCGTATCCCCTGGCCGGGAGCTTAGCGGGGAGGTAAATCCCACCCTGCAAATATTTTTGCCTATCCCAGCCCCCATGAGCGGGACACGGAGCCTCCTGGGTCGACCGGACTCACCGCAGCGGGGCTCCTCGTAGACGCCGTTGGCGTAGAAGGCGAAGGACTTGTGCGAGGCGTCGATGTTGACGGCCACGGGGCCGTGCTTGACCAGCGCAGCCTTCAGCGCTGCGGCGCTGCCCGGCTCTACGCTGGTGTAGCCGGCGAGTTGGGCCACCAGCTCCGACTGGTTGCAGTGGCACCGACTGGTTGGCAGTAGCCATTCTGGGGGGGGGGGGTGGCAACCGGAGTCCCGGGGCAGGTGGGGAAGGGTCCGACCCACCCCGGCGAGGGGGAAGGAGGGAGGGGGGCAGCTCGGATGGAGCATCCATAAACCAAAGTAGAGCCTCCAAAGGGCTGATAGGTGATTTGGGAGAGCCTGGGGGGGAAAGGATTGGGGAGGGGGGGGCACTGCACCCCCCCCACCCGAGCGGCGCTGCCACCCTCACCTGCCCCAGGTAGGGCCCGTAGGACTCGGTGCTGGCGATGCCGCCGTGCTTCATGATCCACTCATAGGCTCGCCACTCCTCGCCCCCGTCGCATGCCTGGTTCCCGAAGCCCCAGGAGCAGTCGATGAGGACTTGTTGGGACAGGGGGGTCAGCACGCCGGTCTGCGGGGAGGATACGCTGCAGGGATGGGGATGGGCACCCTCCAGGCGCCCTGGCCACCCGTATGGGGCACAGCCCCGCTCTTACCTTGAGGAAGAGGGCACCTTCCATGGCGCCCGTCGTAGCAAAGCTCCAGCAGGACCCACAGACGGCCTGGTCCTTCACGGGGGTCACGGCACCTGGGGACAGCGGGATGGGAACACATTTAACAGAGCACCGGGGGATGCTGGCTGCCCCCACGCAAACCCCGGTGTGCACAGCTTTCCCCCAACCTCGTACACACTCCGGGCTTGCACGCCGGTGGCACTGGCTCCCTCCTCACCGTACAGTCGCCAGTCGAGGCTCTCGGGCAGGATGAGGCCGGCGTAGTGCGCGGTGGGGAAGGGCGGCCCGTTGTTGGGA